CTTGGAATTGGGAGATCCGTTTTCTTTCTTTTCTTTCATTGTATTTGATACCCGGGAGGGACCTGGCTGACGAACGGACGGGACTTTGGGGGATATTTATTTGTCTTTTTGCGTTTAGGGATAATGGGAAATTGTCAATTGGAGGAATGGAATGTGTCATGGGTTTTATGATTTTGTATTTCAAGTATGATAAGCGAGTGATTTTAACAAGAAATTATTCAAGTTGTATATTGTGAGTGCTGATCTGAATCGATGTGACTGTCAATGTTAGTTGCTCTGATGTGGAGGACCTTGATGGCTGTTCGGTCACGACGGGACCGAAGTTGGGATGGAAATCGACGAGTTCATCAACTTGTTGGGGAAGGTACGATTAGATTCGGATTCGCAGAAATGTGAGGAACCTCCAACTGTGGACTCATTTCTCCGAAGTCATCCTCTCACCTCTGCCTCCAACTCGACGACGTCCTCCCAACTCCGGCTCTCTTGGGTTCTATATCGGTGATCACGGCTTTCTGGTCTTTTGGTCATTGGCCAGATTTTCCTACAAATTGCCTGGATAACCTCGTTCTTCCCTTCTCCAAAAATTATTCCCATTGTCTTCCTTTACCTCACAATACCTGCCGACTTTCTTCGGAAGTCGATAATATTCCTCACTCAAACCAGCTTCGCTTCAGTTTAGGCACTCAATCATTTTATCAAAACAACTATTTTTCACCGTTCAATTCAGAAAATAAACACCATTCTTTTCATCTCATCTTTAGCAACCAGCTTTATCGAGATCTCGAGCACTCGAGCACTCGAGGGCTTGGAGTTTCCTGAATCTTATTCTACTCGCAACCTGAGAACGCGGGATATCAATCACCTTATACTTTATTCATCTCCCTCATCTTTTCGTCTGATCTCAACACTCGCGGCCTTGGAGTTGGCTGAATCTCATTCCACTCGCAACACAAGCACGCAGAATATTAATCACCCTACACTTCATTCATCTCGCTCATCTTTTCGCCTGAATCTTCTCCTACTCTTTATTTAAATCTCACTTCCTCTCCACACACTAAAATATCTTTCCTCGTGATTCAAACTCCGCGTCAAGTTTTTGAATCTTTCCCCCACCCCGTTCACTCCCGTACATATTCTCACTCCATTTTACTCTCGCGAGATCTGATCAGCAACTTTCCTTCTTTCTTTCTTCTCGATCTCCGAAAATGGCGGACCTCCAAATCACTGCTGGGCAACCGCTCAACCCTGCTGTGATGTTTGGGTGGCAGCAGCTTTCTCACAGCCTTGAGCCCTTGGAACGAATCAAGGTGCTAGATGAAGCACTAGGTAGCACCCGTATCCAATGCGGCCTTCTCAAAGGGCTGTATAACTCGGAGCTTGCGAGCCCTCAGAGCGCATCACCATATTCGGACGAAGAAACGAGCCATTTGAAACAATGGGTCAGGGAGATTGGTAAGTTATCTAGCCTGTCGGCAAGCAAATTCACACGCAGCTAACTATTCACAGATGCTCTCGAAGCAGACAATACTAAATTGGAGCTACTCGTTGGCGTCCAAGGACAAACGGGTGTTGGCAAGACGTCTCTGCTCAACGCTCTTCTCGACTACAGAAATCTCTTGCCCTCAAATAATGCCGAAGCAACTAAGGGACGGTTTGCCACCATGATCAAACCATATCTCGACTCAACGCGCAGAAAACAAAGTGGGCCTACAGGTGCTGTCACTCGAGAGATGGCGCTATGGCCGCTCGTGAGCCACGCCGAGGTTTTCGTCAAGTCAGAGATTCTCAGGTCGGGACTCGTTCTGGTTGATCTTCCGGGTCTTTCTGATGTGGTTGAAAGCCGAGCTGCAGTGGCCCAGAGTTACTACCAAAAGCTGGCGCTCGTTGTCGTGGTCACAGCTTGTGTCCGAGCCGCGGATGCGCAAACGGCGGTCAATTTTATGCCGAAGAATCAAGAGATTGCTATGCGGATGGACAGCAAACTGAACAGTGAAGGGTTTTGCATCGTTGTCTCCAAGGCGGATGAAATCAACTTGGAAGATGCAGCAAAGAATGAAGGTAGACAAGATGAGCTGCAGAATATTCGATCAGTCAAAGAAAGGATGAAGTTGGCCGAAGCAAATGTCAAGAAAACCCTGGCCAATCTAGTGGAACTCGGAACGAAAATTTCAAATGGAGTATCTGAAAAAGAGCGCCGTCAGATCAGATACAAGATGAAAGGCTGGCCAAAGGGCTACCCAACCTTCAAAAAATTGAGAAGGGAATGGCAACTACTTACAATACAGTGCTTGAGGCGGCAGTTCATAGGGCAGTTGAGGAACGAAACGCCATTTTTTCTCGCCGGATTCTTCATCACCTGAAAAGGAAGCATGAGGAGTTTGGCAAGAATTTCCGAGACTTTGTTGCGGAATTCAGCCCCCCAACCATTTTCCCCGTGAGTGAGAAGGCATTTTGGACATTGCAACAGAATGAGAGTCTTCTTGATGAGCTGAAAGGTTTCCCAACACTGACTCACACAGGAATCCCAGCACTCCGTTACTGGACGGAGGAGAAGATGCAGGTCACAAAGAGCGGCACCTTATTTTGCTTCTTCAGCGATATATGAGTCTACTCAACAGCATCCAAATTTGGTCCGTTGCCAGAAAGGTAAAGACTACATACGAAATGTCGAAAAAAGCGCTCATGAGTCAGATATTCAAGCCTAGGGTAGAGAATCTGAACAAGGTGAGTTCGCCTGCTGAACATTATTGTTGTACTGGCACCATATTTACAACGAGCTTTCAGGAGTTGTTCGCCCATGTCGAGCGTCTTACCACCGAGGTATCGGCATGCAACCCTTTCGCACGGAAAGGGAGAGTTCTGACCGAATGTGGCCGTGAGTGCTCAAAGATTGTCGATCGATGGATATATAAAGATCCTCTAGACCCCTATTCACTTGTCCGGTTACATCATCTTACCTTCACTGCCATCGTAAACCGCGGAGGTGGCCCATTTACAAGTCACGCAGATGACAAGAAACATAGATACGACTGGATAGAGGATCTGTAGGTCGACACTAATACATTTCAAGGGTTCACTGAATGGTGCTAACATGAGACTCCTTGAACAGAGCAGACGAATTCAATACTAGGATTGCAGCGGACTGAACCACGAAGTTTCACGAGAAGATTCCTGGTCTTGAGGAAGGGGCAATATCCGAAATCAAGACCATCTGGCATGATCATATGAAACAGTTGGAGCAGTCACTGCTGTTGGAGTTCCCTGGGCAAGAGTCACATATCAGGAACTGCGCTGCGGCACTTCGCGAAATTTCCTGTGAAGTCGAAGCACACGTTGCGCAGGCTTTGGATAGGATATCAGCTAACTCTGGTGCCCTTCATCCATCTCTCAGGGGGAAACTGATGGAAAAATGGAAAAATGGGTTTGAGAACGCAAGCAACTTTGAAGGTTGGTTTTATTCCTACAATTCGGCACCATGTTGATCCTTCGCTAATTTACTATATATTCAGGAGGACACGGGGCAATGAGAAGGCTCCACAAAGCTCTGAAGGATTACGCCACGGCACGCGGTCGCTATACTTATCAATCCGCTGTGAGAGATATGAATCGAGAGTTTGCAGAGAACGTCAGAATGTTTGTCGCTGATTTGAGCGTCGGCCGGGACAGTGGTTTATTGAGGCTTGCTACACAAACCTCGCTTATTTTGGACAGCATCGTCCCAGATAACTTGCGGCTTACTCAAGACAGACTCCAGGGTCGTGTTGATAGAAGAAGGAATATATTGAGAGAACAGTCTCGCCAAGTGGTTGAAAGGTGGGAAACCGCTTGGAAAGGTGGGAACAAAGAACACGTTCTCAGTGAAGACACCGAGATCTAGGAGTCCGTCGAAGCGGGAATCTCAAGCACCACCCAACAATGAGGGCGACCAGCATGGGGAGGCAGTCAAGTTTCTTCGTGCCTCTATCAGGGGTTGCAGTGATTCGGTGTTCAAGACTAAGGTTGAGAGGGAGAAATAGATAAGGGGTCATGAGCAGCTAAGAGGGGAAACCCGGTGGTTATCAGTATCCTGCATGAGATGGAGTTTTGGCGTTTCTTGGAGTCAAGGGCTTTTTTACTTTTGCAGATTTTATTGAACCTGTTTCTTTTTGCTACTTTTCATCTATCAGGGAACCCTCAGAAACTGTGCGAGAGGGACGGGGTATGCGGAAAGGAGGTTCTCCCCATCAAGGGATCTATTATCATGACTTGCCTGATGGTATAGAGGATTTAGCTAGCAATAGTTGCACTTATTTAACAATTCTGCTAATACGGGACTGCCAATGCTGACTGCTAAGTGACTTTATATGCGGAGAGAAAAGAGTTGGGATGCTGAGTGGAAGCACCCCCGTAACAACACCAAATTCTCAAGATCGATCACTACGCGAGAAAATTGATATATTTATAAGATACTTATTTTCAAGATATACATTGCAGAGACTGCACGGTGTAGATCTGGAGTTGCGGATAGAAATACTGACTTTGTCATGATAAAAAGGGGTATAAATGATGTTGGAGAAAGTAAAACCAAGAAAATTGGAGCTATGAGATGGAGAGAGGTGATAAAAAGAGTGAATGGAACAACCTTCATTTACGACATTTAGTATTGTACTTGAACGGTATGCAAAAATAGAGGATTCCGTCGCCTGGTATAAAAGGAGACCAGCCAGTCGGGATAGTGATGGTGATACTCTTTTTTTGAACGAATCAATAATTAAATTCGTTTTTCTCTGCTCAACGGTCCCTCTGTGAAGAATAAAATAAAATAAAAAAGAAAACCAGAAATATGTCCCAGGCAAAGTTCAACCATAAAATTCACAAAACCCTGCACCCCCTCTCAATAACTTCGCCAGATACATCAATCGACAAGGGAACTTGGATCAGTTGAAAGAGCGCAGGTCTCATATTTCTAAAAAGTTATCCGACAGACTAACCAGCAATCAGAACCGCGAAATCTTCCTCAAGTCACTTTGGCCGAGTGGTTATGGCGCGGGCCTGCTAGTTTCACAAAGTTTAAAAAGAAGAACACGTGAAAATAGTAGTCAGCTCGTCTCTTCGGAGGCGCAGGTTCGAATCCTGCAGGTGACGTTCCAACAATGCGGATTTATTTTTTCGTATTTTTTCTTCCTTTTGTTTCGAGATTATTGTGTTTTCTATATATGGGTTTTAGTTATGATGGGATGGGATGATCATTGGGATTCCCGGAACCGTCATGAAGGATCAACAAGTATTAACACAGCATTGACATAACGAATAAATAGAATGAGAGTTTATGGACTTTGAACAATGTGTAGATATCCTCTCCGTCAAAGAGTGAAACATTGAGAGACCAAAGGTGTGTCGTGTATACATGTCACTTTTGCCAACAATTTTTTTTTTCAGAAAAGCAAAAAAATACAATTTTCAATATCCCTTTCCAAATCTAAAACTACATACACGATAGATACCCTTTTTATTTCTTTCACCTTCCCTTTTACTCCCTAACAAAAACACCAGCCATACCCATACCAGTACCAATACACATACTAACAACTCCAACCTCCCCACCAGTCCTCTCCAAACCATGCATCAAAGTAGCCACCATTCTAGCTCCAGTAGCACCCAATGGATGTCCCAAAGCAATAGCACCTCCATCAGGATTTACTTTTCCTGCCACCAACTCCTTTTCCAATCCCAGAGCCCTAACACAATACAAAGCTTGAGAAGCAAAAGCCTCATTAATCTCCCATCTATCCACATCCTCATTCTTCAATCCATATCTCTCCAAAACCTTTGGAATAGCCAACATTGGTCCAATCCCCATTTCATCAGGTTTGCATCCAACAACAGCCGCACCCAAAAACTTGCCCATAATCTTATCCCCCAACCCAAGAGCAGTAGCAGTGCTTCTCCTCATCAAAAGCGTAGCAGCAGCACCATCACTAACCTGACTAGAATTTCCCGCCGTACTCTTTCCATCCTCCTTGAACGCAGGTTTCAACTTTGCCAACTTCTCCACATCAACCCCTTTTCTAATCCCATCATCTCTCTCAACCAAAACCTCCTTTTCCTCTCCAACCTTTTGACCAGCTTTATCAACCTCTTGAAACCTAGTCTTGACCTTCACAATCTCCTTGTCAAATCTTCCCTCATCTTGTGCCCTGCTAGCTCTGGCATGACTCTCAACAGCCAGTTCATCCTGATCCCTTCTGTTGACACCATATCTCTCGGAAACATTCTCACTAGTAATCCCCATACTCATCACACAATCCCTCGCATCTTTTTCCTGTGACTCCTTGAGAGCCGGCCAAACATCCTGAGGAATGGCTCTACTTCCATAATTCCTAGTCATAGACTCCATACCCGCTCCAATACCAACTTCAATCTCCCCAGACTTGATTTGATTCGCAACATTAACAATGGCTTGAAGAGATGAAGCACAAGCTCTGTTGGTGGTATAAAGAGATGTCGACGAGGTATCAAAGCCGACATGATTCAAAGCCATACGAGCCGCTTTTGATCCGCCGAGCTCATTGAGAACCACACCGACGCATACATCCTCGATTTTGCGCTTGTCGAGTTGAGGAACGTTATCCAGGGTTGCTTTTAGGACGACAGACAACAACTCCTCGGGATAAGCATCTTTGAGTTGACCCTTGTAGGATCGGCAGATTGGTGTGCGAAGAGACGACAGAATGACAACGTCGGTGGGGGCCTTTGTAAGGACTTGTTTGATGCCGCGGGGGAGAGGAGCCATTTTGACGGGACGGGAGACTGAGTTGAGTAACCAAAGGGAAAGGAAGGGGAAAGGGAAAGGGTATCGTCAAAAACAAAACAGAAAAGGAGGGAAAAAAAAAAAAAGAAAAAAAAAATTCAGGTAAAAAACCGGAAAGGGCGGGTGATCATATATATTACCGTCTCACCTCTCCGGGTTTACTCGCGGCCGCGAAACCGGGGTGGATTGCTCAAGAGGCGGCATTACATTTCGGCATTACGGGAACCCCACCAATTGCTCCAAAATCTGGGGTCAAACAATCGTCTTGGCGGCATCACCACGGTCACAGGATCAAGATGGAACTGGGAAACATCTTGTAAGTAATTGTCATTCAGTATCCTCTCTCAGGGGGAAAATCCAATCCCTTTCCCTTTCCTATCCTTCCTTTCCAAACCCCAAATGTATCCAAGAAAGAGACGAAAAAGTGTCAATCTGAGGTGGGTGGCAAACGTTGACAAAAAAAATATCCTATCCAAAGGAAATAAAAAATGGTATCACGCGCTTTTTGTCAAATCTCCTGGCTGTACTGTATTCCCAGCCCAACCCGTCCACCACCACCAGCCTCCCTCAACTTCTTCGTCGGACTCGTCGTCTTTACACCACCTTCACTGCTAAACTTCCTCTTGGCATGATTGGTCGGCATCCCACTCTTATTTAACGGACCAAAAATCTTTGCTTGTAATTTCGCACTCTTGTCCGTCGCCCCCGGTGTTGCATCCCTCGAGTTTCCAACAGAACTGGCAACCTCAAAACTCTCCCGTGCATCTCTTCGTAACATCTCGGAAGCAGCCTGACTGGCTTGACTCTCAAAAATCATTTCTTCGCCCGTCGTAGATTCCCGCCTCGGTTGTGAAATCTGTGACCCTCTCCCAAACGACGCAGTGACCGACTGGATAGCCTGCCGTGCCAATTCCTCATTGTCGGCCGATATTGTGCTCTCCCTACTCCTAGCTCTCTCCCTGCTTCGAGGTGCTGCTGATGGGCTTTCTGGGTAAAATCGAGCATTTCGCTGCGGTGGTTCGGTTTGGGGTACGAGATCGACAGACGGTAAAAGCACCCCACCCTTTGAACGACCCATTGGCGTGGTAGGGAGCGAAGACATGGACTGAACGTTACGGGTGTGCTTTGGCGCAGCCCGGTGGCTGGGTCGCTGGCCTGTGACGGGCGTGGACGGGGTGCTGTTATTGTCCTGGCTGAGGGCTTCAAGTAAAACAGCAAAATTGCCGTTACCGTGGTGATCGCGGTGGGCTTTTGCCGTCTGTCGTGGAGTTCCCCTCGGCTGTTGGGGACTTGGTGCTTTGGGAGTGGTGGCGCCGTGAAACATACCTCCTGGACTGCAAAGAATATGGAAATGCTCGCGATTCTCCCGAATGCGGTTGAGTAAAACAGCCTCCTGTTCTGCGAGAGTGGCTATTTCGTTCTCGCGGGCTTCAATAACCTTCTTGGCCCCCTTGAGTCTGATGTTTAGCCTCTGATTTTCTTGAGCCACTTGTTTGTACATGGCCTCAAGCTGCAGATATTTTGCTTGTGCCGTCTCGGTTGCCGTGCTGATGTCTCTCCGGGCTTGGCGTGCGCACTCGGCCTGTTGTAATGCCTGCACCTCCCTTCTGGTCATCTCGTGTTCGACGGCGGCGCGGTTCGCATCTTCCTGAGCCTGCATATTGAGCAGGACATTTTGCATCTTGTGATGAGTGGCTTCCATTTTGAGCCGGGAGTGTTCTGCAATAATGTTGTAAAGCATGTTTCGGAGTTCCTCGGCGGACGCTTCGGCGACTTGTTGATGAGTCGGAGTGGTGAGGCCGGCGCCCGCGGCGGCATCATCTCTTCGAGGAGCTGGGAGGCAAGTTGCTGGAGGCGATACGAAGCCTGATTGAGAGGCGCTGGGAATTTGAAGCAATTGCGATGACGGAGGTGGCGGGGTAAGCGACGACGGAACGAGCGATGATTGCGATGTTGCTTCATTATCGATTTCGGACCTAAATGAGACCGATGTGCCCATCGGCGAGTTGGGCGCTTCTGTTGGAGGCATGCTGGTGGGTTGTGGTGATGGAAGACTGGAACCACCATCTTGCGGGGTTGCAGGAACGTCGACGTCGAGGAGAAGGTCTCCCGGACGATCCTCGAGAAAGCCGTTCATGGCGACCGCCTGTGCAGATTGCTCCGAGTCCGAAGACATCTTGCAAAGGTGGAAGAAAAGAAAGAGGGGTTCCCGTCTGGGGTCGTCGGGTCAATCGAGTTGGGTTAAAGAAGTGATGGAAATCGATTGGTTGGTTGGTTCTCGTGAAATGGACTGGAACACGTCACTCGGAATTAATTTTCACGACAGTGGCTGACAGTGACACAAAACTTGACAAGGCAAGATAGCGAGTGACTGTGTGTGTCTGTGGTCGGGTCTGTGGTCTAGTGTTTGTTTGTTATTGCTTTTAGTTGAAGAGAGAGGTGGGGTTGATTTGGATCTTGGAGCGCCCGAGAGCTTGTTCCAATGTTCACTCACTGTGTTTCTGGCCGTTGCCCTGTGAATGAGGGTGGAATGGAAAATTGGAAGGGGTTGGCCTGCCGAAGCTAAACCAAAAACGTGATCAAGCCCGTGCAATTCTGCCACCCTTCACCGCTTTATATTCAGTTAAGCTCTTATTTCTCCCCAAAAAATCCACATGGTTTTTTTAGCGCCGAAAAAGACCTGATGGAGACAGTGTCACAGTGTGAGCTCTTGTCTGTTAGTGAACTCTAATTTTTTATATGGTAAAACGATCCCCTCTATCTTCTCTAACAGCTAAGGGTAAGTGTGGCTCGGGGGATTCAAGTTGATGGAAACGTGGGTTCGTCTTTTTTGAGAAACCAGTGAAAATGGAATGCAACTTTCCAAAATTATATACCAACACTATCAATTATCTACTATTTACGGAAAGTACATATTAAGCAGCCATGGCAATTCCAGCAGCAGCCATGCCAGCAAAAACACCCATCAACCTCACTCCCGTCGGCGCAGCTCCAGCAGTCGAAGCAGTGGTGCTTGAACTGGTTGAGCTGGAAGTTGAGCTGCTGCTGCTTCCCTCCTCCTGAGATCCATCTCCACTCTCAACCGGGGCGGGAGTCTGCTGAGCAGCCCCGTCGTTGGTCACCGTCGTAACCTGAGTCACCGTCGCCAAAGTCGTAGGAGTCGCTCCCGGGGCATTGGAGGATTTCTCACCACCGTCCGTCTTGGCATCGGTAGTAGCGGGCAATTGAGAAGTAGTGGTAGCGATCACGGGTTGATCAGAAGTTGTAGCCGCAGCCTGGAACCCGGTCCAGTATTTGGGACTGTAAGTGTCGGTTCCCTTGTAGTTGCCGCAGC